AAAAAATCTCTATATATTAATTTTTATATGGTACCACATATAGTTTTGATTTACATAGTATATCGACCACCCCAATGAGACACCCTATTTCTACATTTTTCCATAGTTCTTCTTGAACTTGTGCAACATCAAAATCTCTTCCATATAAATTCCATAGTAAGGAAAAGGTATTCTCAAAATGTTCTATCTCTTTTTCAGTAAAGGTTGACATACCAACGTGAAAAGAATGTCCTAAAACAAGATCAGAATTTGAACTTATTGTTGACAAAGGATGAGGTAATTTGAATTGAAAAACCATCCGCAATGTAGAATGGGTTGTACGTCTGGTAACATCAAATATATTATTATAACCAAATGTTTTTTCTTGAAAATCTATGTTATCTATCACACACAAATTCCATATATTCTCATTATTTCTAATTAATTTTTCAGAAATATCAAGTTCATTTGCTCTTTTCATTGCTAATTTCCTTTCATGTCTTTGGGTATGTGAGATTACATTGGCCATACAAAGTATTGCATAGAGTGATTCTTGGAGTTTTTTTCTCCTACATAAAGAACTCATCACATAATTAAGCCAAAAGTTAACACCAGGAAAAGCAACTGAATGCAAAACAGATATTAAAAAGATGGATATTTTTTTTGGACGCATTGTTTCGAAAGGGATTTCATCCAATAATCTTTGTCTACGTTTTTTTTGAACTATATATCTCCCATTTTTTTCGTTGGAGTAGAATTAGAAGTCCATTAAAAAATTCACGTATGTATATAGGAAATCCATTAAAATATTGATCTAGATTTTGTGGGTCCTCTAATTCTTTTTTTTTTTCACGTATTTCAGGTCTTGAATGCCAAATAACAGTTCCCAATGATTCCCCAAGTTCTTTGGGGTTGTTTTTTATTAGTTCAATATATTGGTTTATGTGTCCCAATTTTTTCAGATTTACTCTACTAAGTCTGAGAGCAGTTTTGAATATTAAGAAGTTTGGAGGATTTGAATTTGGTGAATCTAATAAGTTTTCACGAAATTGTGATAACAACTTAACAGCCTCTTCAAACCTAATGTTATCATATTCTAAATAGATCATTTATTCAATACATATATGTTTATGTATTTAATACAAAATTAATAAAAAATCTATGTGTATATTGATATATGGGGCATGCTGCAACAAAACCAGACAAAGTGAACATTGGTATTACTAAGAATTTCAGGGATCAAAATTTAGTCATTTGTAATGTGATTATAATTATCAGTTTTATAATATCCATTTGTGATATATAGAATTATCCCTATGTAAAAATAGTTAATATGAAACTCATTTTGAAAGAAACAAAGATATTCTCAAGAGAATTACAAACAGAGTTGCTACTATTGGTAAAAACGAAGATTATTTGAAGTTGAAACCCCAATACTCTTAAATAATGTATCTTGCTTGAATATTTCTTTTTAATTATTGCTATAATAATATCGAAATGATTTTTGTAAATGATACAAAAATTTCGAGAAATATAATAATACAAATCATAATATTATAATTGCTAATAAAATATAAATAAGTTTACTTTCTTTCACTGCTTCTCTTAACTATAAAATTATGAATTTTATAAATTAACAAATAAAATAGAAAGTCCCTTGGTTAAGTTAGAAAAAAGAGAATGAGAAAAGAAATAGCTCAAATTAATTAAAACTAAATAGAAAGAAGTTATTATGTGAAAGTTGCAAAGGGAAAAAAAATAGACAAATTAAAATAAAAATTTTTATAATAATTAAAAAAATATAATTTTTGCTTTTTGTTTAATATCTCAATAAGTAAAATTCACGCTAGTGATTATTATTAAGCAATTGTTTGTCTAAACAAATAAAAAAATTTCTTTTTTTAATAATGACCTAGCATTGAAGGAGTTAAATTATATGAAGTGGTAGTGTTTGTCACCATATGTAATTGTGAGTTTTAAAGAACTAATGAATTTTTTGAGGTAATCGTAATTGTGAATTTTAAAGAATTAACGAATTTTTTTGAGGTAATCAAATCTATTCACATTAACAAAAATGTTTAGTTTAAATTGTCGTTATATAGTGTCAAATAGCAAAATAATTAAATCTCAATCAGTGCCTTAGTAGCATATATTATGTTATGTAGCAAATCTACAACATGAATACTTAAATTTAAAATTTAAAAATAGTGTGTAGTGGTAATAAGTAGATAATTAAAGAGGGTCTATCGAAAGAAAGATAAATAAAGATCCTTCAAACAAGAATTTAAAAAAGTGGAAAAAATGGAAAAATTAAAAGGGTAAGTGAAAACACATAAAATTAATAATCTAAATATGAGAAATGCTTCAATTACACCAAAAAAATCTTTTAACTCCCAACCATAATTGCTTTTTATATAACCAGGAATTATTGGCCACTACGTTTTATATAATCATTTGTATGAATCTCCACATACTTCTGTTGAATGCAAATATTCAATTAAATTCCAAATAGTAATAATATATGACATATCTTTAAAAAAAAGACACAAGCCTCTATTCCAACGAAGTGTTCAAAATTGGATTCTACTAATGGCATACCAGGTATGTCTGTAGCTAGTTTTGTGGTCATATAACCCCATGAACGATACATTCCATTGTACTGATCCATGATAAATGATTTCAGTGAATTTCCTGTAATTCCCAATTTAAAGATAAATAATAAGTGATTCTCATTTAAAGATTAGGAAAATAATGAGTGAGCAGTCATAATAAAAACTATGCAACCTGAATATTTTGGGCAGCGTGTATAATAAAACACTAACCTGCATTAATCAATAGTACAACTTTACCCGGTCCATATTTTTTGTTCAGTTGTTGGTTTACTGCATCCTTGGCTCTTAAATGTGCTTTTTTGAAATCATTTTTCTTTAGTAGAGGACTTGTACCAAGTGGTTTTATTTCTGATATTAAAAATGGCACATCATCTATAGTGCATAAAAAATCAGGTCTCTGCATACTTTCTAATAAAGAACAATTAAATTTGACCTCATATCGCTTTTGTGCAGTAAAAACATTATTGATATAAACATTTAAAAATTTGTTACAATGTTCATCTTCAGTTGTTTTTACTGGTGATGTCATTGGTAGAGTTTGTCGCAATCCATTGAAAATTTGTGCTGCTGACCTGCACAAGGGATCTTTGTTTGCAATAATATAACTATCTTGATTTATGGTTTGTTTTCTCGCCACTCTAGTTATATAT